CTGCTTTCCTGAGAAATCTCTACTCTTGTTGGGGTAAGAAAATTCTCTTGAGTCTCAGTCTAGAAAATGTTTCAGAAATTTTACAGTTTATCCAGACCCCTGATATTACATCCGCACTCGACTTCTGACTTGTAATGTTTATGGAAAGCCCTCCTAGTTTTAGTTTTATTTCACCTGTTTGGGATAGTCAGGTGAACACAGAATTGACCCATAAATCTTTTTGTTACGTTCTTATAATTTTCCTGGTACCAGCAACTTATTTCATTTTGTTATTCTTTGTCTTCCAGTAACGTTCAGAGAAAAAAATTATTACAAGAAAACTAATGTTTCTTCTCCCATTTTTCTTCATCAGAAATGAACGTGAAGGAATTCCAGCAAATCTGATCCAGCAATTGGATGTTTGCGTGGAAATTCCTCAACAGGGTATCATCCGCTCACTCAATGTCCACGTGAGTGGGGCTCTGCTGATTTGGGAATATACCAGACAGCAGCTACTTAAGCACGGGGACACCGAGTCAGGACGTTTGAGCCTTATCTGAGATGAATTATCAGCGCTATTGAAACATTTTTTAAAAACTATTTGGACTAATGAAATGGATTCTGAAATTTACTGGGATAATTTGTATTTCTTTTTTCTCGCAATTTAATGCCAAAATTTTTCATGTGCCTTAAGTATATTACTATGTGTTGCCCCCTTTAATAAATATTTTTAGCTAAATTATATTGCCCTTTTAATAAAATATATTAAGCAATTGTGGAAATAAAACAATGTATTTAAAAAAGATAATTTCTTTCCTAAAAATTAATATTGTCAGAAATGTGGACTATGATTGGAGTTAGGCAGAATGAAGGCAGCTATTATCTATGAATACCACACCCCTAAGTCATAAGGAACTACGTGGGGTGGAAGCAACGATTCTGCATGAAGAGGAGCCATTAGCCTCTTTTTATGCTTTGTATCTGCTTATTCCCAAAGAGGAAACATGGTTGGCAAGATGCTGAGCCAGTTTCCCTATAAAGTTCATAATGCTGAGGCAATAGTTATAATTTATTTTTAAAGCCATGAACTAGGCCATAATCATTCATGTGAAGTTTTTAGGAAATTTTTCATATACTACCTTTGCTCAGAGTTCAGATAGTGATTAGAAATAGTCTATATTCTGATAAATGTCAACATGGACCAAAGGAGGTGAATTACTCTTGCACATCATTACCAGATGTGAAAATGGAACCCACAAGGGTTGATTTGCTGTTTCTGTTCTTCTGAGTTTTTGTTTGTTTGTTTGATACTGGGCTACTTCATTATTTAATGGTAACCATTTAAGTCCAGCAATGAACTTCAGTTATGTCTGAGTCCTTTTTAATAATATTTAAACTTCACAGTCCTTTACCTGTATTTTTTTCTTCTATAGCTTTATTAAAATAACTTTTGTTTTGCAGAAGAGTTGCAAAGATAGTACATAGTTTCCATGTGCCCTTCACCCAGATGCCTCTAATAGGATCTTACATAACCATGGACGTTTATCAAAACTAAGAAACCAACATTGATAATGGTGCTGTTCACTGACCTACAGACTATAAATCCGATCTATATTCAGATTTCCCATTTTCCTAATATCTTCTCTGTTCTAGGAGCCAGTCCAGGACACTACATTGCATTTAGTTGTTGGTCTCCTTAGTCTCCTCCAATCCCTGACAGATTCTCAGTCCTTCCTTGTCTTTTCTGACCTTGACAGTTTTGAAGAGTACTGGTCAGGCGTTCTATAAATGTCTCATAGTTGTGGTTTGCCTGGTGTTTTCCCCTGATCAGACTGAGGTCATGGGATTTAAGGAAGGATACTGCAGTGAAGTGCCCTTGTCATCACATCTCAGCATGACTTACTACCTCTGTCATTTGTTGAAGGCAGCATTTGCCATGTTCTTCTCTGTAAAGTTGCTATTTTTCACTTTCCACAGTCTGTGTGACAGGAGCAAGTCACTAATCCCAGCCTACACTCAAGGGTGGGAAAATAAGCTTGACTTCTTGGAGGGAGGAGTGTCAAAGAATTTGGGGACAACTGTTAAAACTACCACAGTAATTAAGAAATATTTTGGAAGAGATACTTGGAGGCTATGCCAATATACTGTTTCTCCTGAACGTTTTGCCCACTAATTTTAGGATTCATTAATGGATACTGACCGGAGCAATTACTGTATTGTTCTAATGGTGATATTCTATATTTCTCTCGTTTCTTCTACATTTATTACTTGGAATTCTTCTGTAAGGAAGACTTGTCCCTTATTCACTTATCTGTTTATATCAGTGTGGATGGTTGGCTCTTGTGTCCTTTTGACATGCTCCCATTCTTTTTTTTTTTTTTAGCACTTCCTTGCTTTCTGGCACTACACAATGCTCCAGGCTCTTTCATTTTCTGTACCCCAGTTCTAGAGTCAGACATTCTCCAAGGAGCATTGGTTCCACTTACTGAGAATAGTATCAGAAGCCAAGGTCTGGGTGCTGGATGTGCTTCTTGCTACTGGGGGATCACTGTAGGCCCTCAGTGGTTGGAGCCAGGGAATCTAGGGGTCTTCCAACCCATATGTATATAAATACAATGTCTAGATGTTAACATAAACATGAATTCTTAACAGTATCTCTGACACCAGTCCAACACCATAGGATTCATTCTAATATTCACTTCTTGCTTATTTTTATCTGCTTTTTCTGACATAAACCTGGTTCTCATTATTGTGGTTTCAAAATTGCTATACCATACCCCTGTGAAATTCAGCAGTTTTTTTTGTGCTTAGCCTTAGAGTATCCAGTCAGAACAGCATTTTTCAGTTATTTAGCTTAGCCCCTTTCTTACCAACCCCACTGAAAAGTGAGTTTATGTCATATATTTATAATATCTTTATACTCATTTATCACAATCTGCATTCCAAACTGGAATCCCTCCAAAATCCTGGCTGATCTTAATTTAATGTGTTTCCAGTCAAAGTCACTCTTCACAGGGTACAGTTCTATGGGTTTTGACAAGTGCATTTTCATGGATCCACCCCTGCAGTACCATAGTAAACAGTTTCAACGCCTAAAAATTCCTTTGTGTAACTCCTTCATAGTCAACCCCTTCCCCATTCCCAACCACTGGCAACCACTGATCTGTTCTCTATACTAATTTTGCCTTTTCCAGAATCATATAAATGGAAGTTATAATATATAGCCTTTTGGGCCTGGCTTCTTTCACGTAGCAAAATGCATGTAAGGTTCATCCATGTTGTGTGACTCAGAGATTCATTTTTTCTTTTTGCTGAGTATTATTCCATCGTATACACAGACCACAGTTTATGCATTTCTCTCTTGTAGGCATCTGGGTTTTTTCTAGGTTTTGGCCATTATGAATGAAGCTGCTATAAATATTCATATACAGGTTTTGTTTTCAGTTCATTTGGTGAAATACCTAGGAGTGGGATTGTTGGGTCGTAAGGTAAGTATATATTTATAAAGAAACTCCAAAGTGTTTTCCAAAGGGGTTTTACCGTTTTGCATTCCCACCAGCAGTGAATATGAGTTTCTGTTGCTCAGCATCCTCATTAGCACTTGGTACTGTCAACTTTTTTTAAGCCCTTCTAATGGATATGTAGTGATAGGTCATCATGGTTTTAATTTGCATTATTCTAATATGGAGCATCTTTTTATAATATTAGTTATTATTCATAACACTATGAGTAGATATGTGAAAATATCTATTCACATAATTTGCCCATTTTTTAAACTTGGGTGATTTATTTTTCTAAGAGTTGTAATATTCTGGATACAAGTTCTTTATGAGATATGTGATTTGCAAATATTGTCTCCCAGTCTATAATTTATCTTTTCAGTCTCTTAATAGTAGCTTTCACAGAGCAAAAATTAATTTTGATAACGTCCAAACTTAGCGTTTTTTTTTCCTTTTATGGATTGTGCTTTTGATGTTATCTAAAAATTCATTTCCAAACCCAAAATCATGCAGAATTCTTCATTTTCTTCTAGACGTTTTATATTTTACATTTAGGTCTATGATCCATTTTGAGTTTGTTTTTAATAAGGTGTGACATATATGTCAATGTTCATTTCATGTGGTGAACGCACAATTTTTGCAGCACCATTTGTTGAAAAGATTATTCTTTCTCCATTGAATTGCCTTTGCACCTTTGTCTAAACGCAGTTGACTCTATATGTATGGGTATATTTCTGGACTCTATTCTGTTCCACTGAACTGTGTGTCCATCCTTTTGCCAATACCATACTGTTTTGATTACTGTAGCTTTATAGTAAGCCTTGAAATCACATAATATGAATCATCCAACTTTGTTCTTTTCAGAATTGTTTTGGCTATTTTAGGTCCTTTGCCTTTCCCTACAGATTTCAGAATCAGCTGGTCAATATCTACAAAAAGCTTGTTGGGATTTTGATTAGGGTTATGTTGAACCCATAGAACAAGCTGGGGAGAATTTAACAATAGCTTAACAATATTGAGTTGTCCAATCCATGAATACAGCATCTCTCTCCAATTAATTAGATCTTCTCTAACTTCAAGTGTTTTGTAATTCTCAGCATATAGGTAACTGCACATATTGTTAGATTTATACCTAAGTATTCCTTTTTTTTTTAGTGCTATTGTAAATGGTATATTTTTTATTTTAAATTCCAATTATTCATTGCTGGTATACAGGAATATGATTTTTTTTTTGTATATTGACCTTGTTTCCTGCCACCTAAGATTCACTTATTGGTTCTAGGAGTTTTTTTGGTCAATTTTTTGGGATTTTCTATAGAGAATAATAATATCATCTGTGAATAGAGCTAGTTTTATTGCTTCCTTCCCAATCTGTATGCTTTTTATTTCTTTTTTGTCTTAGTGAAGTAGCTAGGAATCCAGTACAATGTTGAATAGGAGAAATGAGAGAGGACATCTTTACCTTGTTACTGATTTTAGGGAAAAAGCATTCATTGTCTCATTATTAAGTCTGATATTAGCTGTAGATGGTCTTGATTATTTTACCTATATATTTTAAGTTCACGCTTCTGCCAATCCTCATTTTTTTGTGCCTGTATAAAAATGCTAACTCCCGGGGCCGGCCCCGTGGCTTAGCGGTTGAGTGCGCGCGCTCCGCTGCTGGCGGCCTGGGTTCGGATCCCGGCACGCACTGCTGCACCGCTTCTCTGGCTATGCTGAGGCCGCGTCCCACATACAGCAACTAGAAGGATGTGCAGCTATGACATACAACTATCTACTGGGGCTTTGGGGGGAACATAAATAAATAAAAATCTTTAAAAAAAAAAAAAAAGCTAACTCCCAGGACACACAATGACAATACTGTTCTCAGTATCTAGATGGATAATATTTGCCTACTACCCTCCTCCACCCAAAAAGAAAAGTACATGTGTTTTTATAATAGGCTTTAATTATTTTCTTAAAATATAGAATTCTTATGAAATTAAAACTAAGCATATTTCATACCATTTTATTTCAATGCTTCATAGTTTGATGGAATCTTCTGTTACTTGATCATTTTAATTATTGAGAGTTGTATATATGGAATAAGTATTGATGTTTACTATGATTCAAACTACTATTGTCCCATAGTCAATGGAGCATTTTTGAATGTCCAGAAAGAACAGTTTCAACCTTTCTGAAAAGTTCAGGAACACCTTAGGACTCTGCAGTTGTTTTTGAAGGCTGGAATTCTCCTGCTTCAAATTTTTCTTTGAATTTTAAGTAGTCTCTTCTTTTATCAAAATATTTTATCTGTTGAGAAAAAAAGGTTTGAAATAAGGGCTGCATAAGTTATGCAGCTTATATAAACAAAAGCAGAGACTTAAATGTAACAAATTATTCAATATAAGTTGTATAAGTGGCATAAGTGATTTATATTCTAGAACCACTTTGAATCAGTGCATTTAATGTATAAGAATCTCTAAAGAGGGTGTAGACCAGTAAGTCCTAATACTCAACAGATCCTGTTGAGAATTTGAGTAACCCATGAATCTTCTCCTCAAGAAATGTACATGAGCTTATTAGACATGTGAAACTTGCCATGCCAATTCAGAGAGTTCTAGAGCTCCCAGGTCATAAGACTTCATGATTTAAGGACATTTTACAAGTCTTTCTTATCAACTGAAAGTTCATTAAATTTTGTAATTAATCAGCCATGATATTTTTATCAAGTTTATCTCATCCAGAAACATACATTTAAGGAGACAGACACATAGTTAGAAATTACATTTTTGAACTATGAATAAGTAAATTGATGGTTAAACTTCAGTAAATTAAAGACTTCGTTTTATTATTTCTATTTATGTCCTCCTCTTACCATAGGGAATTTGAAGTATCTTAAAGCTCCAAATCCTGAAACAGTAACATCACAGCAGAAAATCAAGGTCAACACAAAACTGTGACAATGTGTGTTATCTGAGATGCTGTGCAGACAACGCAAAGGCAGAATACCACACATGTTCGTTGTCAGAATAGAAAACACTAGTTCTCTTGTTAAAAGCTTTTCTTAGGATTTAATTCCTAAATTATTCAGTGGAGCCTGAGTAAGTGAAAATTAGCTTAGACGGAGAATGTAACAATCTGCCCTGCCCTGTCTCAAGCTGGAGTGAGACACAGATAAGGCCAGCTACAAAGTTAACATTTCTCCCAGGGACAGACTACAGTCATGGAGTTTCCTAACAGACCCCTCTGAATGACTATTGCTTGCTTACTCACCAAGAAACCTTGTTCTCTAAAATCAAAGACTATCAGAAATTTGCTCTTGGAAGTCATATCAGTAAGAATGAAACCACCCCCCTTTTGCCTGGAGGATCTATGGCACTTTGACACAGAGAAGCAGCCTTGATTTCCCACCAGGTGTAGGACTTCAAATGAGGGATTTCTGAACATGACATTGAGCATTTATCTTTGTAGAGAATGGGACCCTGGGTCCACTTCTCAGGCCAGAGATGATGATGACCTGTTTATATGCAGCCCTGCTTTGCTCAGCCTATCAAGGCACCACTTCACTTAAATTTTACCTTAACTCCACTCTTCCACCAAATCCTCCGATAACTCCTTTCCTTTGGTTGGTGAGATGCCCAGAGTTCCTCTGGTGTGTGGTCTCCCTAGTTATAGCACATTAGTAAATCTGACTGTAAGACTACAGACTTACCCCTGGTCATGACAGGCTGACTGAGCTGGGATGGGTGTTATGTATAAAGGCTATCAGATGAAGAAATAGACAATGTCTTTAACATTTTTGTGGCAAATTAATAGATCTTTGCATCTCCTGTCACGTCTCCAACTGCCTAATGGACAGTTCCATTTAGAGGTCCTCTTGACATTTCAGCCCCAACTTGTCCAGAATTTAGCTCTTCTCCAAACTTGTTTCTCCTCCTCTAGTACCCATTTCAGTGAATGCATCACTATCCACCTAAACACTTAGATCTCCTTCCGACTCTTCATCGCTACAGTACAGGCCCTCATTTCTCATTTGGATTGTTGTAATAGCTCTTTAACTGGTTTCTCTACCTTCCTTAATCCATTTGTCACACTGCAGCCAAGTATAATCTTTTTGAAACCCAAATCTGATCATGTCACTTGCTTGTTTAAAGATCTTTCAAGGTATCACTATTAACTTCAAGGTCAACATCTAAACTCAATAAGAAACAAGGCCATTCATGGCTTAATCTCTGCCCATCTGTCTATCCTCTCTGAATTTATCACCAGTCTCTGAAATGCTAGCTATACAGAGCTGCTCCATTTCCTGAATGTGCTTATTTCATGTGTATCTTGCGTCCATGCCTCTGCATATACCATGCTCTCTGCCTGAAAAGCTCTCCTCCCCAGCCTTCACCTCCTCATTTAATTAACAGAAGAAGACCCTCAACACGTGGCACTCTCTCTACAAGTCTACTGAATGTCTAAAAGGCTAATGAATCAAGCATTTATTGAGAATCATTGTGTACAGAAAATGCTAGTGTCCTCTAAACCATTAAATGAGATTCAAGATAGTAGTGTGAATGGAATTTCACACTGGAATTTCTGGAATACTGGAATTTCTGAAACATTTCAAAGGTTATAAGAAAAAGACAATTATTTGAAATCGATATTGGGATCAAATATCTTAGATATCTGGTTGCTCTATTTGTGGAAGACTCTCCCGGATGCTGCTAGAATGATAGACCTGATCCCTGCGTCTTCCTAAGTTATGAACCGATAGGAGACTTTAAATAGGACCGTTATACAAGTTAGATTGATGAGTGCTATAAAAGATAAGCACAGTGGTAGAGAAGAGTAATTCATTTTTGTGACAGCCAGCATATTTATTATGTAACAAATTTGTGTTTTTAATGTTTTATGATAGAAGTATTCATTGTAAGTCTCCATTTGATGGTTTCATTTTTATCTTTATTCTTTGGCTGTGACTTCAGCTAAGTAAAAGAACACAAACTGTGGGATCACAGAGACCTACATTCAAATCCCCTCTCTACTACTTTACTGGTTAGCTGATCTCAAACAAATTATTTCACCTTTGTGAGCCTTAGTTCCTATTTTGTAAAACAGATACAACAGTATCTCACAAGACTGAATGAAAATTAATGAACAAAACATCTCACACAGAATGCATTCAAATGATACTTACATTCTTCTCCCTCCCCTCTGCCTCCCCACCTTCTCACACACATCTCTGCAAAAATCTTTAACTTTTTAGTCTATGGCTTTTGGGTAAGACTTCAAAGAGGTAATACTTGAGTAGAGAGCACAGGTGAAAAGGGAGCACAGGACTGAGGGAGCAGGCTGAGAAACAACTCAATTACAGATTTAGAAAGAATAGTACTGCAGAAGAAAAGTTCTACCTGGGAAAGTAGCTATCATTGCCAAATGCTGCAGAAGTCAATTAGAATAATTTGCTATACTACCCACTTCCCTTCTTTGTTGGAGTCATCTGTAACTGCAGGTTGCTCTCATTTTCTCCAACAGTACCGTAACTCTTGGGTGATTTTAGTATCCATGTGGCTGACCCTCCCATACCTTGGCCTCTCAGTTCCTTGACCTCTTCAATGATCTTGTCCTCCAACCTATCCTACTGCCAGGATGAAAGCCTAGACCTTGTTCTTACCAACAAATACAGCCCTTCCATAATCCCAATTCTAAGGATCCCAATTCTAAGTTTTCCCAATTCTAAGGATCCCAATTCTAAGTTTTCCCAATTCTAAGGATCCCATTCTCCAACCACCACGTCTTCGCCTTCCCTGTAGGACACTGATGCCAACAACCCATTGATCCCACCACCTTTTAACTGACTGTCATCCCTCTCCTATCCTTATTTGTCTCCTTACTCTTGAACTCAAAGCTCTCCAATGGCTTCCTGTACCCCTCTGAGTAAAAGCCACCATCCCTGGCCACCCATCACATCTCTGACCCTAACTTCTGCTATTCTCTCCATGCTGTTCCTTAAACACACTGGACGGGTCCCCACTGCAAGGCTGTTGTATGTGTTATCCTGCTTCCCTCCTGACAATACTCCTTCAATAATTCCCACAGTGAAGGTTAATGCCCTGGTCTCTGGGACTGTGTTGATGTTGGTGTCTCTCACTGAGGTTGGGAGCATGGAGAAGAGGCCTGTTGAGTACAGGATGGGGAAGAGTTCAGTCTTGCATATGCAGAGGTACAAGTTGGTCCCTGTAAACAGTGAACAGGAAATCTCAACAGGTGCTTCTAGAGCTGGAGAAAGGGCCAGGCTGGAGATGCAGATTTGGGCATCAATACATAAGTGATACTTCAAGCCATGGCTGTAGACAAGATTGCCTTGGGAGAGTGAGTAGCATAGAAGGGAACTCTATAGAACACTGGCATTTAACAGACACACAGGAAAGCCTTCCAAAAAAGCAGTGGCTACTGAGATGAAGGAGGAAAACTAGGGGAGTGAACTGTAAAGGGACTCAAGGAGATAGGGCTTTTGTATTTAAATAGACTTGAATTATGACTAAGCTTCTAGAACATGAAATGTGTGCAAGCTATTTTCATGGATCCTTTTCTTGCATGACACACACAGGAAGAAGTATGTGGAGCAGGGAAGAGCATGGGGTCTGAACTGACTCCTGAGCTCAAATCCAGGCTCTGCACTCACAGGTGACTTCATTTCAATGTGCCTGCGTCCTCGTTTGTAAAACTGGAGTTTTATTGTGAGGAATAAATGGGATAGGTGACATATCTGAAGTGCTTAGAGCATGTACTCAATAAATGTTAGCTGTGATTAGGACGCAGTGACCTGGAAAGAGGGCAGGCCTCATGGCATGGTGTTCAGCCTGTGTATGAGTGGAAGAGACATACGATAAAGAAGCAACTTGCTGGCTGTAAAAAACCCTTTACGATGTAGAGAACAGAAGTCCTGAAAGTAGGGGAGTAGGAGGGTCTATCAGCCACTAGGTTGGAGAAACAGCAGCCAGTTTTGGGAGAGAGAGAGCAAAAAATAGGACTGAAGTGTGACTTACCAAAGGTGCTAAGACAGTGATTCCCAACTGTGGTTATCCCCCAGAATATCCTGTAGAGCCAAAGCCCTTTTACAAGAAGCTTGGGTTCTATTTCCAGAAATTCAGTAGATCTGAGGTGAGGTCTAGGACATAGCTATTTTTAAAATACTCTCCCATGTGATTTTGATGTGCAGCCTGAGTGGAAAATCATGGCTAGGCTGTCAAAAGACAGGTCTCATAGTGGCAAGGTTCTCCTGGGAAAATGTGGGGGTGGAACTCACCAACACTCTGGTCCTGACTTACCTCAAAGGTCTGGCTCTTATCTTCATCACTCTTCACCCCCCATCCCCCACACCGACCCCGAGTCCCAAGTCGTTCCCTGTTCTCAGCCCCACTTTGCTCTCGGTGACCACAGGGCCAGAGAGCAGAGGGTGAGAAGGGGACAGCAGAGGCAGCAGTGGTATCAAGGCCTTAAGGGAATCAGGTCTGATGTCAGCCCAAACTCCCACATTTTTCCATCTACTTCTTAAACCAGGAGTTACTCTCAATGCATCTATCTAATGGGAAAACCAGAGATGTATAACATTTTTTGCCTGAATCATTATCTAATCCAATCTTAAAGCCCCACATTTATCAGTTTTCAGTTTATATGTCGTTAGACATTTGATCTTCATAGTAATCCCATGAGATGGGTTGCGTCATGCTGGTTTTACAGATGAAGAGTTCATTCTATTCACTGCATTTATTCCCAGCTCACTCCTTCAATATGACCCCCACCCTCAATCACACCCTTCTTGTGATCTCCTTCAAGTTTCAGGCTCATCTAAAATTTGAGGAGTGAGAGGATGAAGACCCTAAATCCACTTCATCTCTAAAATGATCTGTTCTCAAACTACTTGTTATACTTTGGAGCAGCATGATACACTGAAAAAGCAAAGAAAAATCCAGGTTGAAATCTCCCATCTGCCAGCTGGGCCTGAACTTAGAATTACGGTTCTGCCACTTACCAGTACTGAGCAAGTTATTCCAATACTTAGCTTCAGTTGCCTCCTCTGGAAATTGAGAGCACCACCCCCCATCTTAAAGGGTACTGATGAAGGAGTGTCAGGCACTTACACAGGACCGCTGACTAAGCTCAATGATGTGAGCTCCCTTTTCCAATCCCCTCCCATACTAAGGACAGGCAACAGAGCATGAACTGTCAGGGAGGCATTTGGGGCAGCTGGTGGCAGAATCCACCATATGAACATTTTCTTTCCTCTACTTTCTAAACTCCTTTCTTTATATTTTGGGTATATGACTATATGATTTTGGGTAGGCAACTGGGAATGCTTTATTTCTGTAAGTAGCTCTAGGCCAATGAATTTGCCAACTCTTACCCAAGGTTAAATCTATCCTTTCAGAAGATCCCAGAGAAGTCTACCAATTTAGTAAGCTGGAACTTTTTGGTTATTGTTCATACGTTTGGTTTGATTTTTGATGATCTTTTAAAGTGTCAGGTATCATTTTCCAAAGGTCTGCCTGATAAAAGTACATAAAACAAGCCTGGATTACTAGGCAAGGTTTCCTGTGCTGCTCACAGAAACTGTTAATTTGACATGCCTTAGACAGGTCTTCATTTCACAGCTTCCTACTCACACTGTAAGCTCTATGTATTTTAACAGTAAATAGAAACACGTCCAAGTGTGACTTACCCACTGTTGGGGACAACTTGATTCAAATGAGCTTCGTAACTTTTTGCATTTAGAAGCGTCCTCTGTGTTCTCATCTAAACACTTCCAGTACTCATCCCGGGCTCCCCAGCAAGCCTGCCTTTCCTTCATAGATGGGGCTGCCATTCCTAGTGGGCTCAAGCTGTTGGCCAAAATAACATTTGACGTTAACAAAGAACTTGTAACTTTAGAGAAAGTAAACCAAGGAAAAAATACTTTCCCTTCAACCCCCTTTTTAATATTAGTAATGCAACTGAAACTAATCAGTTCTAAATTAACGATACCGTGTGAGCACTCGCATTTGAAGCTCATCCCACACTATGTAATCTGATCCGCCTCTGGGGCGGCAGCTTAGTCTCAGGAAGCCCGCGTCAGAATTGCGGCTTTCCCACGGCGTCTGTCCCTCAGGGTAGCTCACTTATTCTCTAGAGCCTGTTTCCCCATCGGTAAAACGGCGGCAGCAGTGCCATTTTACAAGGTTGCTGTTCGAACCAAACTGCTGTACAAATAAACGCACGGGAGCAAAACTACCAAGCAGGACGAGAAGTGCTCCCCGTTTTGTAGAAGAGGAACCAGGTTTACGGAGAGTCTGTGACCTCCCGGTTCCACGCTCCACACGGGCCCCGCCAGGACCCACCAGCAAGCCGACCTCGCCGCGCGCCCAGAACCGGGCTCCCTTGGGCGCCAATGACAGGAAAAGGTCACGCAGACCAATAACTAGGGGAGGAGGGCGCAGCGAGAGTCCTGGCGCCCCCGGGTCGCCTCGCCGGCTTGCGTTCAAGCGGCGTGGAACTCCAGGTGTTGAGTTCTACCCGAAGAAAGCAACTCACCCGGCGAATTCACCGGAGTCGTACTGATCCTTACAGGCTACCGTTGACTGTTCAAGGAGGGCGGGACTTCCTGTTTCGCGCTCTCACTGGTCGAGGTAACTTCCGGACCTGCTTGGAGAAGGAGGCGGTGCCTGGAATTGTGGAGGTGGGGAGTGCGTGAGATCAGGGCAGCCTTGACATTGCTATCGTTCTGACGCCTGTCTCCCCGTGTTTTTCACAACTTTGGCGAACTGTGTCCCTTTCGAGAATCCAAATTCCTACCTGTGTCTCGCCCAGCGCCGCCCGGAAGGCTTAATGTGCGAGCCCTGCCCGACAAGGAGGCTGTGTGTGGAAGTTTGCACCTGAGGAATGAGAGCTGGACGAAGCGTTAGAGAGCCATGAAGGCTTAACTTCTTCGCTTCTTAGATTAAAAGAAAAAAAAGAACGAAACGGCCCCAGAAAGAGGCGGGTGACACCCCAGGACATGGCAAGTGAGGGACCGAGCTGAGAACCCAGGGCAGCGAGCCCCCAGTCTAGTTGAGATTCTTCTGTGGGTGGAAAAGGTGCTTTTAGTCCGTATTTGGAGACATCTAATGAAAGACAATATGAAAGCAGAGTTCCAGTCGGCTGAGAGGTGATAGTTGGCGGAATTAAAATATGAGCCTGATAAAGAGTTTACAGCTGGGATCCGTGGACTTGGAACTGAAATTTGCAGAAGGTAGTACAAATTGGTCAGGAGAGTGGGGAAAATAAATATTTGTATTATTGTCTTAATCTCACTTGTGGCTTTTTTACTCCCCAAATGCCAAGGTATTTTAAAAACGATGAAAATAGCTGCTCCAGATATTTCGAAAGGATGCTATTTTTATTACATAAATGAGTTAATATCTCTCAGCAGAATATTTAAAAGAGCTCGTTTGTGGATAAAGTTGTCAGTTGTCTGGCATCGGGTTCTCTTAACGGATTCCATCTGCTCCATCATTTAGTCCTATTGAAGTTCTAAGTGCTTATAAAACTCATAAGAAGTTTACAGCTCTGCACTCAGTGCTGGTGTTTGATCCTTTCCAAATTCAACGTATGCAGATTTTCAGGGTGGCTACGTAAAGCTACCTACCACCAAACTTATGTTCTACAATATGGGAAGTATTTCTGTAATATTAACTGGACTGTAATAGTGCATTGCTTTAGTTTTACCAGAGCCACTCATTTCTTTTACACTATCTCTCAAGGGCAGTTTATATAAAGATAATATCTTTTAAATATGACTGATGAGATATAAAAAGGATGAAAGGAAAGAGTCTTGGATGACTTCAGAGTCAAAAAAAGAAATACTTTTTAAATTTGTTTATATGTATTTAATGATAAATATATATAAAATATATAAAGTGTAACCTGACAGAATTACAAAGAAAAAAATACATGGTCATGTTGGGTGATTTGAACAAGCCTTTCTCAGTGATTGTTAAGACGAACAAAAGAAAAATCAGTAAGGATATAGAAAATTTGAATAACATGATTTACAAACTTGATCTAATGAATGTACACAGAACAACACAACCAAAATCAGAATGTACTTTGTTTTTTGGTTTTTTGGTAAGGAAGATTGGCCCTGAGCTAACATCGGTGCCAATTATCCTCTACTTTATATGTGGGACACCACGGCAGCATCGCTTGATGAGTGGTGTGTAGGATCCAAACCCACAAACTCTGGGCCGCCAAAGCAGAGCGGGCGAACTTAACCACTACGACACCGGGCTGGCCCCAGAATGTACATTTTTTGAAAGCAAACGTGACACGTTACCAAAATCGACCACATCCTTAGCTGTAAAGCAACTCTCAACAAATTTTAAAGATTGAAATCACTCAGCACGTTTTTTAGCAAAATGCAATTAAGCTAGAAATCAATAAAGAACTATAAAAACAAGACCGTATAACTCATAGTCAAAGAGTCATGATGGTAATGAGAAAATATTTTGAGCTGAATAAAATACAATAGCAACACCTGTGGAATGAAGCTAAAGCAATACTTAGAAGGAAATTGCTAGCCTTAAGTATATTAGAAAAGAGGCTGAAAAGTCTTTAGCTAAACATTCCTTTTCCAGAAGTTAGAAAAAGGAGAGCAAAATTAAAGACAGTAGAAAGAGAGAAATAATGTTAAGAGCAGAAATGAATGAAATGGGAAACAAAAGTAGTGGTGTGCCAGAGACAACCTGTACTGGTTCAGGAGAGCCAACTGTGCACACCTCTTTCCAACTCCATGGTCAATAACATCAAATTGGTAGCTTGAAATTGCCCATGATAGGAGTATTCACACTATGGAAATCAGCAAATAAGCTAGTATTTTGTTATGTTCAGAGCCTATTTGCTAGCACACCACTGCATATAAGAGATTCAAAAAAATCCAAAAGTTGATTTTTTTGGAAAAGACTAATAAAACTGACAAATATATGATAGTATTGAGCAATAAAAGGAGAAATGTACACAACCAATATCAGTAAATTATACTTTAGACATCAAAGTTAGAACACCTTATAAACAAATTAATGCAAATAAAATTTAGATGAATGTACAAATTTCAAGAAAAACACAACTGACTGACTCAAGAGTAGAAAATATGAATAATCCTAAACCATTACATAATTTGAATCAGTAGTAAAGAGTCTTCACACAAAAGTAGAAAATATGAATAGTCCTAAACCATTAAATAATTTGAGTCAGTAGTCAGGAGTCTTCACATACAAATTCCAGGTCCATGGCTCCACCAGTAAGTTCCTCCAAACTTTGAAATAATTCTGTTTTTATTGTATGAGGCTGCCATAACTTTTGTACTAATTAGAACATCCCCAAACCTCTGAAACACCGGACTCTTTGGAACTCATTTGATGAAAAATGATGATGAAAAATGAAAAATGAGGCTCTTTATAGTCATTTATATAGCACTTAGGTGACTATGTATGTTTTGCTGAAAAAATACCAATATGTTTGATTATAGGTGCTGTCCAAGTTCTTGTTGAGAGTATTACAGAATATATGTTGTATGTTCCATAGTACTTTCCAATATCCGAAAAAGTCTGTATTTCAAAACATATCTGGCTCCAAGATTTCAGATAAATTACATGGACCTGTATGGAGGAATGTTTTTATGATGTTAGGGTCAAGAAGAATTTTTTTTAGCCATAAAGGAAAAGATCAATAAATTCAACTACATTAAAATTAAAGACTTTTATTTACCGAACAACACTATAAAGGGAGTGGAAAAGACAAAACTGCAATGTGGGAGAAGTTTGCAAGACATATAACAAAGAATTAGTACCCAGAATATATAAAGAACAACTACAAATCAATAGACAACCTAATTTAAAAATAGGCAAAAGGCTTAAATAGGCATAGCACCAAAGAGGAAATACAAATGACCAGTGTAAGAAAATGTGCACTTCCGTATTAGTAACCACAGAAATGAACATGAAAATCACAATGCAATACTATTTAGACACCCACCAGACCAAAGAATAATTAAAAAGTCTGACATTAACAAATTTTAACAAGGATGAAGCAAAGAGAATCCTCATAGACTATGTAGCATAAATTGATACAATCACTTTGAAAACAGTGTGGCATTATCTGCTAAAGTTGAAGATACACATTCACTATGACTCAACAGTTCTATTCTACAGAATCTCTTGTACATGTGCATCTTTGTAATAGCTAAAAACAGCATATGATCCAAACTTAGATGAACAGAATGAATAAATTATGGTATAGTCAATCTGTGAAATATGACACAGCAATGAGAAAGAGCAAACTACAGCCAGCCATTTATAATAACATGATGAATCTCAATATTGAGTGAAAGAAGCAAGTCAACCAAAGAACAGGCACCATGTGTTTCCACTTAAATAATGTTCAAAAACCGGCAAAATTCAACTACACTTTAGGATACATACATTAAGTAGTAAAACCAATAAGAAAAGAAATGGGAAGTGATCAGGGGGTACATAGGGGGCCTCTGAGGTGCTGACAATGTTCTATTTCTGGACCTGGGTGTTTGTTTTATACTTATTCTTTAAATAAACTGTACAAGTATGTCTTATTCACTCTTCTGTATGAATGATATATGTCCCAATTTTTAAACAACTATCATCAGTGGTAGGCCTAAGGCACAAAGTATTACCAAAGAGGTTCAATGAACTGCAATAATGGTCCCCCACCCTTACCCCGAAGGAGGTGTGTAGAAACACTGGTTTAGCCAACAGCAAAAATAATTAGAAAAGAGAAATTTTGAGATGTTGATAAGGCAAAAAAAAAAAAGAAAAAAGAAAAAAATTAATGCAGGGTAAGAATTTCAAAAGCCAAATTCACCTTATAAAATATGAAGACTATGGACAAATAAAAGAATGTAGGTGACATAAGATGATTTCAGATGTGCTGTTTTGACACAAAGGGAGTGTAATCTCCCAGCCTATGTTTGGAGGAGAGAGGAGGCGAAGAGAAGTCAGTGTGAAGAGGTGGACGTGTTGTGCTGGCTGTTGCCATCCAGAGAAAATTTCATGTGGGTGTTCTCTAGTCTGAACTAAGCTGAT